TACTTCATGCTTCTTTGACATAAATTAGTTAAAGCAGCATAAACAAAAATAATTCTATTCAACATTGGTTTTAACAAAAGAGGAATAACTCCTCAAAGAATTCTAAATTGCTTCAATTTCAAAAATGTTTCTTTCAACACGAGTTCTTAGTGATGCCACACGACTTAATCTTTCTTACTATTGGGGGAGTACAATCTCAATTCCAACGTGAGGATGAATATTTTGCTTTTCTGGGTACCTTACTCCACACAACACAGTGATCGCCGCGAGGCATATTTCCAATATTTCTGTTAACGAGCTTAGAAATGAGCCAGAAGTACAAAGCACGCTTATTTACAATTGGAAAAGCTGGAATGGGTTATATACTCACGATTATTACTTAATTTCGAGATATTTGAAGAACATTACGAGATGACGATTTCACAATAGGTAAACCCTATGCCATAGAAGAATTTTATCGGTAGATTTTAGCACTTAAACTTACAATTTCCACGTATCAACATTGTTTTAATCCTTTTCTGATAAAACGGCTGCAAAACAGCTCTGAATTCTCTGAAAAATTGTTTTTTGTCCAAAGCCTAATCAATTTTCCGCCATACATTTCTTTGCAGCAATTTGCGTTGCTAGCCCAGTGACGATCCCAGAACCCTTTGCGTATAGCAAAGGGATCCGATTACTAGCAACTCATCCTAAATACATCCTAAATACAGGCCAACATCAAAACCTATCGAGTTTGTTTTCCTTGTGAACGTAAAATCTGGTGATTTGCAGCGTTGTGTTGGATGCAGCGGCTACGAAACGTACAAAGTTGTCAAAGGCACGTGCAGAGCCATAGATCTTCTCTTGAAATCTTTTTTACTTTCAGCGCTCTTTTTAACATCGCCGTAGCAGTTCGCTTTATATTTACCAAACTAACCTTGAAAGATGGTTCTCTTATCTGCAGTAGCTGATTCATCACCGCATTCCACTTGGCTCCCCGAGCTGGTGTACCCTTTTTTGTAGTGCCATCAAAAGGGTTATTGGCGATGATTTCCCTGACAAGAATTTTATCATGTTCTTCGGTTCAGTACATGCTGTTAAATACAATTGAGAACCTACCTAGATTGATCCAAAATCAACCTGAAATCAAATTTCACCCGTAACATTTACATACCTGCCCGCCAATAAATTTAATTTTTTGCGTTACTTTTTTTTGGTCTCAGCAATTGAAAGCGAATAAACTACACATCATTTAGTCGGAAAAAACGGAAAACGATGCAAAGATTCATAAGTAGCGTCTGACAAAGATGGTTCTGGCTAGTAAAGTAGTTAGCTTTTGTGCGGCAAGCCACTTTAGTTCGAACGGTAAGTCTCAAAGGCCTGCTGCAAATTTCCTTTGAACCGTTTCTCAAGTACTTTTTGTGATATTAAAAAAGACGATTTCATTTTTCTCTAAAGAAAACACAATCGCGTCTTCAGACATAAATAACTAAAATAAATTTTATCGCAAGGAATGAAGATTTCATAGTTGATGTTATTACTTAATTAACGAGTGTAAAACACAGCTCGTGATAGGTCACGGAACAACTGCGAAAGTAACAACACACTGAGATACTTACGGTGATGGCTTTTTGCTGACTAGTTCAGGAACCAACTAAAATACCGTGGTACACAGAAAAACAAATGCAAAAACAAAAAGTGATCTTGCCGCTGTCGACGTGAGCACGACGCCGTCACGCACGATTCACGCAATACATGCAAACACCTTTTATCACTCATGCGCATGCGCTGTTCGAGAAGAATACTTCCGGTCAGCTGCGTTCTCGGCCTCTCTCGCCGTTCTGGATCTTAAAGTCCCTTTTCCTATAACTCAGCCTTAAGGCCTCCTCACGCGAGCCTGAGTTTAATTGTAGCTCGGAGTTGATCACCGTAACGTTTCTTAAATCTCTTTACAATTTACACGAACCGAGTCTGCTCTTCGAGATTGAGCCGGGAACTCAGTTTAATTCGAAGGGGAAGGGTATCATGAGGAAACGTTTCGAGAGGGATAATCGCTCGAGTTCGTTCTATCTATCTTATTCGTCTATACTAAACAGATGAACTGAAAGCGAGAAATTTTGCCCTGAGGGTCTCAATGGGGTTAACCGATGGCCGTAAAATGGTAAAAAAATTATGGCCTTTCGGCGTAAAAATTGACCGGCAAAGTTTAACGATTACACAAAGAAAGGAAGTTAACTGTCGAAGCCGGAACCATTCTTCTTTACCGTGGCGAAAGCTTGTTGACCTGAAACGGATCATGCCATCCAGGGCGAAGAATGCCCATTGGTCAGGGACGATAAACTGTCGTGAGATTTCATTCATCCTAATAAACAAGTTTTATCGAGTGAAAATCTTTTTATTCAGTATCTAGCTGTGCGTGGTTTGTTTTGTTCTGTAAAGCAGCCACTAAGACTAATCGGGTCTCTGTAAATATATTATCTACGGTTTTTGAAGAACTATCTGTGAATTGACGTTTATCAAAAACTAACAAAATTATACCACTTAAGAGACTAAAGGCATACAACCAGACTCTTTTCTTTCCTTGCGAAGAAAAGCTGTTCGTCCAGTTGACAAATTTACGTGGTTTGTAGAAGTTAACTCTGCTAGCTGTTTATCTTCGTTAACACTTGTTTCAGAGATATACTTAAGGAGAAGAACCAATAATTTTGAATCAGTTTGAAGGTGCTTCGAGTCCATACAAATTCACTACAAGAATCTCGCATTTCATGCAAATTATGCGATTATTTTCAAATAATTTTCGAGATAGATGGGGATTTTTAGGAGAAATTTCGAGGTTTTTTGAGATAAAAATGAGATTTGTCGACATTTTCTGGAGAATTTCCCGATAGATTGCTGGGCCATTTTCGGGATTTCTGTGTCCAGGTAATTTTGTATAACTCGGCGGTCTTTTCTTCAACTGTGGTCCGAAGGTCCTTGTTCTTTTTCGTCACCCTTACCAATACATCACTGGCAAATAATTTTGTATTGATCATTTCTTCCAGTCAATTTTCTCCAAATTACAGCAATTGAGAAAAATAGGTTTGTGACTCCTGCGCATGTCTTGCAAAACTGGTGATTGCGTTAGTGCCGAAGTTATATTAGATCTTGCAAAACTTAACAAATCGACTACATTATTCTACTGTTTATGACCTAATTGATCATGGAAATGATGTTCAAGTTTACAATGCTCAATCGAAAATTTCTCTATATCTTTGATACAATACACTTGTATTTCTGGCTCTCTGAAAGCTAATAGTTACCAAAAAATCCTTCCTCCCCAAGAATACTTTTTTCAATTCAGTTTTACAACATAAATCTTACAAAACGGGGTGTGTTATGCGGCCCCTCCTCCAACCTTTCTCCGAACTGTACCATTTCAATCATGTGGTTCATGGTTCATGATCGAGTGAATTTACTTTAATGAACATCAACGTCTACGCGTTTAACACGAGACTAGTTATAAGCCAAATCCTTTTCAGTAAAAAACAAAAAAGTTTACTTGATAATTGTGGTTAATTATAAGAGGAAATTATGTATTTCCGGGTATTAGAACTTTACGATGTCTTTCTGGTTGGTAATTCAGAGCAAATCGAAGTTTGCTGATAAAAAAAAAAAATTATTATAGATTCTCCAAGCTGGGATCTTGATTTTTCCATTTTTTTCCTAGCAAAAAAAAATATTACTGACTCATACTTGCCGGGCAGGTACTGAATAGCATCTATTTTTTCCCACGAAGATTAGTTATTAACCAAGTATCACCCTTCAGATCTCATTTTGCTCTCCGAGGAGGAAAGAAACATGTTTTGAAAATTTGTTCCTTGAATCCTCAGTGAGTTGTCTTTGTCTCAAAATGTATTGAATGCAATGTTCGCCAGTTCAGCATTATTGATTATGATCTGGTTCGCGGGAGACTATACCCAAATGGCCTTAGGCAAATCATCTGACCTAAAGCTAGCACGTACGAGAATGAAACAAATATTTATTCAATTTAGCAAAGGTACAATACTGTAACATCAAGTTGTACCAGCAGGAACGTTAAGTATATCGCAACATTATTTATATTACGATTAACAATAGTATTGCTGTAAGTATTATTAGCTCTGTAGCGTTGTACATTGTTAAGTTTGGTGGTATTCTTAGTGCTAATAGTGTTGCAAAAATTAGTCTAAATCAATATGATAATACCACATTTCATTAGCTCTGAGATGTCCTAAGGTTTCCGAGTGTTTTGAGCAGAGTAATCTGTTATACTTGCAAACAGCGAACCTACTAAAGCCGCCATTCCTCGAGCCGATGAAAATTGTGAAATCTTGTATACAAATATGAATTGGTTATTCAAAAGGAGGCCTGTTGATGCTGAATTTGTAATCATTACAACGCAAATTGTACACAATATCAAACATGAATAAATATTTAGGTTTGCAAGAGGAACCTTCGTCGAGGGTGCGTTGGTCCATGGTGAGAAAAATAGAAAAATATGAATGTTGACTGGGTTATCATTGTCTCGCGCAAGGCCTGCCTCATCTGTAAATAATAAAATGCACTTGATCGATATCATTTTACCTTGTCTGGAGAGACATGAAGTGTAATTAACCAAATCGATTTTGAATAAATTACATCCATAGCGACGGATTTTCCACCTAATTATGAGGAGATCTGCTTGGAGTAAAGTAGAATAAACTTATCACAGCTTATTCCGAATAAATATTGACAAAATCAGGGACGGATCCCGTGAAATTATCCTCACGTGCCTTGTAAGTAGGAGTCACGCTTACTCTGTATGACTTCCTGTACCGTCACGTGGTCTAAAATGAGCAAGAAGGCGACTAACCAATGAAAAGGTTTAGATTTAAAAAACAAAAATCCCAAAATTCAAAATTGAAGCCTAAAAATATTGAATAAATATTGCAAATGAGAGCCAGAAGATAACCTGACTTAATGTATCAGCTTAATACACCAGCTTATATAAAATTATAACGGAAAAGAAAAGTACAAAAAATTACGAAGACAGATGAGCTAACAGGATGCCTGACTTATGAGTAAATTTATATGCAATTCTGTTCAGCGGTTATCCTTAGTTCGCTCATGCGGGGGAATTTAAATAAGGCGCACGCGCTCAAACTTCCAAGCCGAGCATAGCGTGCACCATTCAATAATATTAAAACTTTTTTTATTTGTGTCCGCTTTCTTTGAAAAGCGAGATTTCCGCCTATGTTGTATGGTAGACATGCGAATAGATGATTCCACGGTTACTCCCACTAGGGAAGAAGTCAAGGACATGATTTTGACATCTAGTTCAGAGACAGCTTTGAACAATTCAAGCGTACAAGCTCTTGGCTGTGGAAACAATTGGTTGAATGGCATTAAATGGCCGCCTGAACAGCACACAAAGACTACGAGTGACCGAAGAGAAGATACTACCTTCAACGATTTAAAGCTTAATCCCTCCTTAGTTACTCACGGTGGAAGGGTACTGAAAAAACCTGCACGTTATATGGAATCCGACTCGGACGAGGGAGCTAGTGCGCGAAGGAAGTTTCCTTCGGTGAAGAAAAGAAAGCGTCTGCTCTCTGATTCTTCGCGTCCAAAATGTAAAAATGGTAGAACAAAGTCTCTGGAGAAAGATTCTTCTGATCTATTTTCGAATCATAGATTAAAACTCCTGTCCTTTAAGCGGCAAAACGGCGAAAGTTTAGACTTGAAGAACTCGTTGGACCTCAGATCGACGCTTGGCGTGGTGAGTTCTTTGTCAACATCTCCTTCTCGCACTCAGCCAGGTGAATCTGTTTGCGTGAAAAGCACGACAAGTGAGCTGCAAACGGAGTCAGAGAGTTCAAATTCCTTTGAGACACCTTTAAAACGCAAAAGAGGTAGACCTCCGAAAAATCTAACACAATCTTTAGATAAATTACATTCAGTTGACATTCGTTCGAATTCGCCACATGGCAATTGTGAAATAAGTGCCACGAAAGCATCTCTCGCGTCACCTTCAACTTCAAAATTTGGTAAGAAAAGAAAACGGCCGAAAGGCATACGCTATTTGCAGGAGAGTTGTTTGTCGTCGAGCAGCGACGAGAATGAAAAAGCGCCGTCAACTCCCAGGAGAAGGGGTCGACCACCGAAGAAATTGTCGAGTTGCGAAACAAAACACAAAATATTCAGGACACCGAATGGCGTTAAAAAACCTAGGGTGCGGCCGCATTTGAAAGCTGTTGACAAACTTTCGTTCATGAAACCCTCTAAGAAATCGCTGGACTTAATGCTACCTTCACCGGAAACGTTCGTGACCGGGGTAAACTCAAAGTTTGTTGGGGTTAATGGCTGCAGGATCCTCTCGTCTGGGAAGGAGGTTAAACGCAAACGTGGCCGTCCACCAAAGCCGAAACCCGAGCTTTCTTTTGAATCAGACAATATTCTAAGTGATGCGTTTCATTTTACTGGTGAAGACGAACAGAGCGATGGTTCTCCGACATTGAAACGTAAGTTGAAGAAGTTGAAGTTTCAAAAAAAGCACGACAAAAGACCTCTTGGAACTTGTGCTCTGAAGAAGAGAGATGCTACGGAAAAACTCAAACGTAAGGTCTTGAATAAAGCCAGAAAAAATCTTCAGGTAAGAGCTCAACTTAATGTGTCACAATCTGATTGTGAGCCATTGATGGAAACTAAACAAAGTTCTGAAAATGTCCACAAACGTAGAAGAAGAAACAAAGCTGATAGAATACTTGGAATGAGAAGAAATCTCTCTGGGACATATGAGTATCTAGTTCAGTGGAAAGATGGAACAAGTTCATGGGCTCCATCAGATGAACTCTCTGATTATGAACTAGACTTTAAATGTTTTCTTGGGCATGACTACCAAGACATGACAGTTGTAAACAGACTGGCATACAAAGCATATTGGAAGGAAGACTTGATCAAATACCATAGGAACCAATGTGAGATTGACAGATTGGTTGCAACTGATGATGTGCACTCAGGGCAAGTCAGCTCAGGAGAGCATTACTTAGATGGACAAATTGATGATTCTGATCCTTGTCAAAAACATTACATCTGCAAAGAGGTATCAGTGCAAAAACTCCATGATTGTGTTCATGTAACTATCAGCCGTTCGTCCAGCAAGAGAAGCAAAATCAATCAAAGAATTGTGGACTCGCTCACTCTTGTCATGGAGGATGCTGCCGTAGATGAGTCACAATTTGTTATTATTAGTGGCTTAGGAGAAGAGACTTTCTGTGGGGTCAATCTCAAAGATTTGACTCAAGTTCCATGTGAGGAAGAGCCAAGACATTACAGAAGAGATGTGGATAAAGTCAGGTATGTTAGATACCTTTACTATAGCTTGTAATTTGAAGCTGTAGACCCAAGGATTTGCAATGGTATAATCTAAGCAAAATCCTCATATGGTTTTTCCACTTTCACCTGAAAATACCTTATACCTGCAGAATTTTTGATGTTCAAAGCATGTGAAAGCATTCTGCCGATGTTGTCCTATCCACAAAGTTTTATTACATGCTTTTCAATTGTTTGTTGAAATCTAAATATCAAAATCCTTGACTTGTGCTCATGCTTGATGGCCTCAACAGTAAAAAACTAAAAATTTTCAAATGTGAATTCCTGTGGAGCTCATGAGTTACAAGGTGGATCACACATGCTTATTAAAGTAATCCTTTGGCATGTACATTGGGTAAGGTTTTTGCAACAAGGTTATAATTATATCTTTCAAATGCTAATCAGTTCATGTAAATAGCCACATAAAAGGTATCCAGAGCTTCTCACATAAAAATTATCCAAACTTTAACTCGTAAACAATTTCAGTTACTGCAGCAACTGATTTTGTTAATGTAGAAATAAGGTTACACTACCTTCACTCCCAAGATTTTATTAGTAATTCTCCTTCCTGTCTGCTCTACAATTCTCAGGATTCTTACGATTTTTTGATTTGGAGAATTTGGGTATTGGATCGTATAGTAATTGCCTAATTGATATTTCTCTTCATCTCTTTATTTTTTTGCATGGATTTTGTCTTGATATTGTAATGAGAAATTTGTCTTAGTCATTTATGAGAATAGAAGGGTTGAAAGCAACATAAGTACTTTACTCCAGTAACATAAAGTTGTTTGAAAGAGGTTGTCCACAATTATTAACATTATGGCTTTGCCTCCATGTGAAGATCTCAAAAAGTAATCTGGATATCTGACAATAAACGATTAAATTCATCAAACAGTTGCCTTGTCCTTATAGTGACATTTCCTCTTTTTGTCCTGAAATCCCAAAGTCAAGGATTGGTGACCTAAAAACTACCCACCATATCTTTTGGGGTTGTCTGGTGTACTTAAATGTTTTTTTTTTTGGTTTTTTTTTGACAACCTTTTTCAAAACAGCCCTATACAAATGGACCTGTCTGAGTTCCCTATGTTGCCATGGCGACAAGATCCAATTCATATACATATTACTACTAGCATGTGATTTTGTCAGCATCATTTAGTTTTGACAGAAGTTAGAGGTGCCTGTGATATCCTCTTGAGGATAGCAGCATAGAGGTGTTAATTAAGGCAAATTCAAGATAATTGGGTTTTATCTACGGATTGAGTTGGTAATGTGAATTGGCCACTGTGAAGCAATTCTAAAGCTGACTCTATAGTTGTAATCCCTTCATCATAGTCTGTTCTGGATTAAACAAAACTTCAAGACAAAGAGTTTAGGGTTTGCAGGAATTAAACAAAAACTGAATAAAAGGATTAAGTTTCTAATGAAAGAAACTGTGATGCTGTATCAATGTGGGGTTTTACAAGATGATTTGGTCCTATCAGCCAAGTTAATTATATGAATTGGCCACTGTAAAGAGATTCTAAAGGTGATGTTTCTAGCAATTGCATTTCATCAGAGCAAATTGTTGTTGCTAATATGTTGTTTATATTTTATCCTGTTATAGATATTTGGTACAGGTGCTAATCGACTTTCCCAAGCCAGTGGTTGCAGCTATCAAGAAGCCAGCCTTAGGATTGGGTGCAATGCTTGTTTCTCTTTGTGATTTGGTTTGTGATGAGGTGGGTGGGTGAACAAGGGTATTGTTGTTTTGCATTTCAATCCTTAGGATGTACATTATTGAAATACTGAAATACATGTAACAAGTAAATGTTTAATGATGATGGTGATTATCTCTGTTTGTTGGTTCTAATGTTTTCACTGAATATTTTTTCTGGGCTCTCCAAGTTTCTGCCTTTTATTCTTGAAACAGTCAGCAAAGAGCTACACTGTAGATGTGCAGTTGGGAAAATTAGATTGATTATTAATTTTTCAACTTAATTTCCTGTTTTGCAGGCTTCCCTTGGTGAGCCAGTTGCTCTTCAGAATGTATCCAAGGGACGTGTCCCTTACAGTTTTGCAAAGCTTATGGGACATACTTTAATAAATGAACAAATCCTGATTGGGCACAAAGTACCCACCTCTCAACTTGATTGTCTGCATTCAGCATCTGAAGTCTTCAATCACGCACGCTACACAAAAACAGTTTCAGCCTCACTCAAGGCTATGAGTCTTCCCAATGGAATGTCTTATGATGACTGTTTGCAGACACACTGTGCTGCAGACTCACTCTCAGAACTGGAACAACAGCTTCTAGAGGAAGAGAAGAAGGCGAGGAATGAATGCATTGACAACATGAAAGCTTTTTGGAAAGAGGTACATTCTCCACTTGACGTCTAGGTACAGCCTCATTTATGTTAAGTTATTGGGCAAAGTTTTCGTGTGGTCCTTACTTTGGTGATATAATATAGAAACTTGTTAAGTTGTTAGGATTTCACTGATGCATGTTGTAAGTGTTCTTGATACCTGCTGCTGTATTGTTTTCATTTGCATGTGTTAGTGTGCTATGCTGGCAAAAAAAAAAATCAATAATCCACCCATAACTTTTGCAACTTTTTCATACCACTCTGAAGCAAATGAAAACCTATATCTGCAAAATTCTTTTCTTGGTGTGTGTTGAATATTTTTTACCCAAATTACCACATCAAGTGTCTCAAAAACCTTTTTGCAAGACTGTATTTCCACAACCAAGAAGGCAAAAACTATATTAGTTTTTGACTTTTCTTTTGCAACATCCATCAAAGTAGAAATTTTGATGTTGTGTTTCGTAAAAAGGCTAGCTTGTAAATTTAGTAATATACCACAGAGCCATTGTAGAAATTAGAATGACATGTCTTATGAAAACAATGTGTTGAGTATTTGTATATTTAAAATTTTTTCTGGAAAGTCAAAGGGGATGTCATTTTGCTTCATGCATTATGTTAGTAGAGGTTGTTAAGCAAAATATGGAAATAAGTATTTGTCGCATAGCATTGCATAGCAAAGAACATGTATTGTCTACCACTCCAACTCTACTGTCAACTCTCTCTAAACCAGACATGCTGTTCATCCTTGAAAAAAAAAAAATTAAATGGGGTATTGCACTATTGATGTTTCAAGTCAGGTTGTACTTTAAGCTTAATTTGCAATCTCTAGAACTGAAAACAATAAGGAAAATTTTTAAGTTGTGGTACATATTTTGAGGTAGATTTCTTTATGTCCTGATTACCACAAATTGGAATGTTAATTGTTAGTTTTTCTGAAGGGGAGAAAACCAGTGTACAAGGACCACATCCAACAAAAAACTTAAAACCCACGTGGCAAAAGGTCTGGGAATTAAACCTGGGACACAAGTGTGGAAGTCAAGTTGTCTCACGACAGCTTCCCATTGCACATGCAAAGCAAGAAAAGTACTCTCCTGCAGGTGTTTGTTATAACCTGTGGAACAGATGCCTCAAAGAGAACCATCCCCTCCCTCCCCTCCCTCCTCCCCCCTCCAGCAACTGTGTCAAATTAGAGAGGGTTGACTGCAATGTGTGCATCAAGGCTACCATTAGTTGAAGGCTTATTTTGGCAAGTGCATAGTATTCCTCCCTTTCAGACTGCACAGACATGTACAAACTGAGATATTTGTAAAGTTATCGTTAGAAAAGTTTCAAAGTGAGGTTAATATATATATATATATATATAGATATATATATAAATAAATATATCCATAATTAGACCAAAGTGAAATCATCAGAGTTTTCCATACATGCATACAGATTATAAAATTGCATTCACACTTGCTGTTTTAATACTGACTAGACATTGATTCCAGATTGGAGCAAATTAATTTATGAAATTTAATTCTTTCTTGAAATTTTCAAAATGCTGAACCCAGTCCAGCCAAATCTCACATTATTTCATTTTGTAAGTCATGTGAATAAAACAAATTAAGAGTGAATGACACAAGTGATTTCTGCTCTAGTAGCAAACAAATTAAGTTTAAAAAAATCTTCTTTCTTTTATATTTTAAATTTATGGAAATTGGCGACAATAGATTCTGACAACAGTTTAAGTAAACTTGCTTGTACTCTTTGTTTGAGTACTATGTTAGAAATCTTTCATTAAAAGAATCTATGAACTTTACTCTTTCACAGGTAACGTAGCAACAAGAAGAGAATTTGCAAACTTTAGAACGTTCCCTAGTTTTCAAAATATCAGAGTCAGTTATTAATAATGTTACAATTTTCTTGTTGCACTAGCTTTCCTGAATCGAGTCACTAATTTTTGAGCACTTGTCATACCCACATCAAAAGGTAGTTTACACTCATTGCCCTAGCTCTCCTGAATCGAGTTATCATTTCTTAGAACTTTTTGTACCCATATTAAAAGGTAGTGTACTTGTATTTAAGCCTAGTGCTGTATTTATTGTATGCATAGCTTTGCATTGTCCACCACTCACTGATCATGGCAACATGCCAAATTAAATGTATCTATATTTTTGTGCATTTTGTGAACTGTTGTGTATAGATAGGCTTTTGATATTATTGTTACCAAATGAAAAGTTGAAGTATTAAAAGTAAAAGAAACCTTCCTTGATATTGTTGTTTTACTATATTTCACTCTACACCTTTATATCACTATGCATATTCTCAACACTGTCCTATATACATTTCCTAAGGTGCTGATAAGGAGAATTTGGGTAACAATCAATGGATTTTCTAGTCAGTGACCAGTTCCTTTGTAACTTAAATGTGTGATTCAGGGTTGATATAGGAAGAAATTAGATGCTAGTCCCTGGTAGGAGTTGAGGGGTTACCTCCCATAAGTGAGCAATACAAAATTTCTCCTCACAATATCAATGCAATGTCATGAAGGCAAGTGATGAGAATAAAGAAAAATACGAATTAGGGAATTTTAAATTATCCAACACCAAATTCTCCAAACTATGGGCAACTTCATAAGAATTTATTACCGGTATATGGCAGTTGGTAGGGAGAATTACAACAGAGATCTTGAGAGTGAAAAGGTCAAGTAAATAAGTCACCTTTCCTTTTTCCTTAATTTTGACCGTTACTGGTTCTACATCGAGAATAATTCTCCCCACAAACAACATACACTTAGGGTATAGTACTGAGGGAAACATTTAGTTTTGTTTTTGCAAAAGTCCTGTTTCCCAAGAGGAAGTTGAGAGAAACATCAGGCAAAACAAAAACTAACCAGTTTCCCAAGGGACCATATATTAAGTGCTTTGTTATATATTTTATATTTTCTCTTAAACAAATGGCAAAAACATGCTGTTGAACTAGGCACATGAGCAACAACTGTGCAATTTTTTCCCAGTCAGGATACATTTGAATTGGATCAGGGGCATGTGACTGAGAATCAACCAATCACAGTGCTTGTTTTGTTGATGGAAAGTCTAGGTATATAATAAGAGCATTTGTTTGAAGATAAGAGGGAAAGTTTTTTTTTTGAGCTACACTTTCTCAATAAAGAATAATATGCTTTAGCAAAGTAAGTAATAATTGTTTATGTCATATTCACTCCTGCATCCTGGAATCAACATGTTTAATACTCGCAAGTCTAACATACTAAGTAAAATGAGATACAAACAGTTTGAAGTTTACTTAAAAAAAAAAACTAGAACTTGAAGCTGGTAGTTCAAATCATGATTAACCCTTTACACCCTAACATCAGTATGCATATTCTCCATACTATTTTCTATACAT